CGCGCAGGCACAACAGATGGTCCAGACAGCACCAGCGGCTGCAGGAGCGGCACAATCCAGCGCGCAACTACTTTTTATTCCGTCTAAAACTTCACGGGGAAACCTTCAGATTAAGAGAGAGAGGGGTCGGGGGATAATCGCCAGTTTTTGACCGTTCCCTGGATCCAAACGCGTTTAAAGGGTCGCATTAGCTGTCGAGGTAAGTTGGAGTGGTTTTATTTTTTTTTCAGACCAGCCGTTCGCGTTCCGACTCAGAGAAACTCCGGGTTAAAACGACCGATCGTAGTTTGGATTTCCCCTAATATTCACCTAAGCATGTTTCTAACTCTTATTTTCACTATATAAGTGCGAAAAGCGCTTAATCTAAATCTAATTGACATAATTCTGAGCGAAATAGACATTGTGTCAAGTACAGTTTAGATATAGTCTGGATAAAAATGTGTTCCAAAAATCCATGTTCACATTATTGATTATTATTTTCCTTGTTATGACAGTGATCATATTAGAATATATATATATCTTTATCAATATCTTACAAAGTTCTTTTCCTCACCATTAATGAAGATTGACGCGTTAACCCCCCCATACACTGAATCATCTCTTGTTTTATTTGAAGATTGAAAGTTGTTGGTTTCCGGAGTCTAATGCAGCACTTTGTCTTCACCAGCTCCACAGGCACATTCTTTTTTTACATTTATTTATTTATTTTTTTAACTGTAGTGCTGATGGTGCATCTCTGGGAGGATGCTGCTGTCACAGCACTGAGGGACAGTCAGTCATAAAACGCTCGCTTTGACTTTTATGTCACCACAGGGAGGAACACAGTCTTTGGGTCATCACCTAGACAGAGACTAATGTGTCAAAGGTCAGTTTTAATCTGAGACCCTATACCGTGGGTTAAACGTGCCTTAAAGCGGGGAGGGGAGAGGACACCGGACTTCTATTTATGATCAGAGCAAAAAAAAAGAAAGGTGGTGTTTAAAATGAACTCTCTGCGGCTCTGAAAAATTATGTGACTTTTTGGGAAATTTAGGAAATGCGTGTTGCCAGTATGGTATTATAAAAAGAAAAACCAATGGCCTAAAAACATCATTTAAAAAAAAAAAGCTGCCTGTAAGCCTATGACACACTTCATTTATATGTCATATGTCATGATGATGAAATTGCTTATGAGAAATGTTTGTGACGTTTGGTATCCGTGGCAGCCTAAAAGTAAGTCAGCTGAGCCACGTATATAGAAAAAGAGAAAAAAAAAATAAGCCACTGGAGCATTTTCCCGTGACAGATCAGTGCCATTCATGCAAGGCTTTGTCCCACGGGGGGACCTTTAAACACGAAACAACGCGCTGGGCCCCACTACTGAACTGTTCATAATCAATCCCCTGCAGAGGTTTAGACCTCTCCTGGAACCCAGGTGGACCCGCAGCAGCCGCAGGAAGAAGAGCAGCGGATGACCTCACATTCTCGCATTTGTACACAATTAGATCCCAGGGGAGAGAGGCACTCCAACTTTGTGCCGCATCCGCTCTGGGTTCTGAGTGCTGTAGTGATGTAGAAACTGGGAGGACTGCCATTCTGAAGGAGGAAGACAGAGCTGGGAGCCAGCAGATGCAGGTGAAATAATGAGGTTTTTCATTAAAGGAAACAAATAACCCAGAGGAAATACAGTACTGTACTGCATAAATAGCTCCGGGATCAATTTGCTCAAGCCTGCTCATTCCTGTCTCCGACATTAAGCACTGCTTAAATACATTCTCAGCCATATAATGATTTCACTCCGTCTTCATTGGGTTCTTTGTGTTATATATTTCATTTGGACTCATTTAAATATTTGATGTGCTGCAGAGAGCGGCTAATGTGCACGGACAACATGGACAGCTAAGTCCACCACGTGTGCCCTAATGCAGCCAGTGTGTGAATTGTGCGAAGGTTTGGTGGAAATATTGTAGCATGAATTTTTTGAGAGACCTTTTTACAGAGGACCAGAGACAATATCCAATAAAAAATATGGATATTTCTCATTTATCTAACCCACCGACCCTGTGGGTTCAGTAATGCATGTCTGGGAAGTTCAATTATACGTTCATTTGAATACGCGTTGGCCCCACTGTTGTGTATTCGATGAGGGCAGGTTCTTCTCTTTCCGGAGGATGAACATTTCAACACTAAAGCACGGGGAATTGTCACTTGGAACGCTCCTGAGTTGGTCTTTCATTATATTTTCGCCGGTGGTGTGAGAAAATAATCGGAATAAGGCTATAGAGGAAGCGTGAGGGGACCTGTGTGATACTCCAGAAGGGAAGTTTAATGGCTAGAGGCAGGAAGTGGAGAAGGGTTTGGATCTACAGTAATAAGATAGGACTGACTCTTATTATAGTACTGTAGTGTGTGGACTGGGAGTGCAGTTTCTTGCTTTGAAGAGTGGAATCAAAAGTGTGTGTGGATACTCAGACACTACAGAGGCTGCCTTCTATTGACTTAACACAACCACGTATAAAGTGGATCTGCATGAAATTAATCTGCCAGACAAAGTAGCAGATTCAAACTGCTGCATGGCAGCAGAATAATGGCGTATGTACTCATTAGGGGGATGCTTCACAACAGCCTGAAGATACGTTCCGTTTAATATATCAATGGAAAAAATAAATAACGTGATGTTCCAAACTTCTCATGCAAAGCACAGTCAGTAAACTAACAAATTAAATCATGTTGATTTTTCAGTTCCACGCATGTTGAATTGTGCCGGTAATTTCTTTAATTAATTGGGGAATTATTGTAACAAAGGGGATGCTTTTGGTAGCGTTTATTGTTTTTTTTCAATTTTACCCCCTGCTCCTGGCAGTTACTCGTCAAATCGCGTCAAAGCTGTCCCCACATGACCCGAGCAGCCGAGCAGAAATAAGTGACGCCGTGAAGTCAGATAGTAACCGCACGGCAAGACTTTTCTCTCCTTTTTTTTAGTAGCTGTGTTTGTGGCACTCCATTTACGGTGGATCGATACCCCTGCTGTGTGAAGTGAATGAGAGTAAAATGAAGGGGATACGACAGCGAGAAAAAAAAACCCTGCAGCGGTACCTGTGGCAGCCATGAAAACACACTCTGACTGTAAGCTGCTAATCTCTACATGAAAGGGAGAATGCACTGATACTGTACAGTATGTGGCAAATGAGGAGTGCATTGAACTGAATTGTTATCATCATAATTCTGGCTACATTTTGAGTGTCTCATTCAGGTATGTGATGAAAATTGGAACTCACGACTATTAGAATACAGTATGTAACCATATCCATAACTATGTATTTCTAGTCCTTTAATTGATATGATCATATAAGTATTTTTTCCATATGCTGCACATCTTTCGATTATTCAAGCACTAGTGACATTATTTCTAGACCAGCATATGTGATAGGCTCTTTTTTCCTCAGTTAAACAGACAGCAAAGCTTACCTGACACCATTCTGTAGCTTATGTGTTGGGTTTGGGTTTTTAATCAAGGTTTGTGAGTAAAATACTTTCTTTTTTTGCAAAGCTAACAAATCATGACTTTTTCGGATGCCATTTTACCGGTTGCTATGGCCACGACCAAACACAAGGTGTTAGGACCAAACTTAGTGTCTTCCTGGATGAGTTTGGACTAGAGCCCCAAATGGTTAGCCTTAAACATTCAGATGATCTTGTTAAACAAGAATCATGGTTGGAACTAAAATGTGTCCTCGCTTCTTTTTATGGGCTCTTCTTATTTCTCTTCTTCTATTTTATAAATCCACATTTTATGGGTATACATTATACAGATGTTATGTAGAATCACTCAGTCATGGATGAGAATGAGGAAGAAAATAAGAAATAGTAAGCGGAGAGAGAAAGAGGACGTGTCTTGAACTGGTGATCTCTAGATTGCACATTTGACACTAGTCTGAGACCAGCAAGCCTACAATTACTAGTCTTTCCAACTATCTGCTATTGTTGCAAAAGTTTACAATTTTTCAGAGCTGTCAAGAAAGACAGTGAATTATCTTAATGGACCACCTCATGCTCAAATCAAAACCAACAGTGTTTATAGTGTGTACATTGTTGTGTAGGCATCAGATGGTGAAGCAGCAGACCATAATCAAACAGCAATGACAAAGTTAGATGTACAATGCATGTACAGTCAGCTAAGCTATGTCAGGGCGGTGGGAAACAAGTGAATTATTTAATAATGGAACAATTTTAGGGAAGAAAACTCATAAAAAAGGGATGTTTGTTCTTTGGATATCAAGATGTGAGTGATCTGGTTCTGGATAAACACAAGTGTTTTAAATGGGAAAGCTCTATTGGAATATATACAGTTAATTCCCATTGATTATGATCCAGTAACACCTCGAATCCGACCTGCAGGACAACTGAGTTGTATTAAAATGACAGATTGAACTAGCAAATAAAGGCAGATCTCAATTATTGTCTTTTTAGTTTTGTGTAAATTAGATACACATGGCATGTCTCATATTTAACTTCAACTAGTTTTAATCGAATCCATTTCCTGTATCTTCTAGTATTCTATGCAGAAAATTATGGGAATAATAATGAACTCATTCCATGAATGAACATATTCAATCACTGAACTCCCATAGTTTTAAAGTACAAACTGCCGTTAGACATACAATACGTATCGTAAACCAATCTCTGGCTTCATTCCATTCTATAGATCACTGTCTTTTATTTTGAAGTGTTGGTTTTTGTGTTGCCGGTAGCCTATGGGAAGTAGCACTTCACAAAAAGTTGCCATTTATGCGTCAGTTGGTGCATATCGCCTGTTTGTCGCTGGTCTTTTTGACATTTTTGGGTTCTGTTGTCATAATTAGGTCGTGCAGAGGGGCAGAATTAAACAGCACGTGTGTTTTAAAATGACAGGTGGCACACACAGTTCTGTGAATGAACCGAATCCGCTTAGTTCTTTCAAATATGGGGGAGGCGCAAATTAAGAGCAACAGAAATGTCTTCTGTGGAAATTGAGTGAGGGAGTGTTTCAGACCTCGTCTTTTGAGGAAGGGGTTACTTATTGGTGCCATGCTGCATCAAAGAGGCACCCCGTGTAGTGTCCACAAATAGAAAATTTGAAGGGGAATTTTAAATGGAGGCGAATTAATATTTCACCTCGGCGTTGATTCATGCTGCCACTGTAGACATTTTTCATCTGCAAGTGAGGCGCTTATACAAAAG